TATAAGAGAATAACAAACACAAAAAAAGAAGGAGAGATAAGGACGATAGATGTTTGATAGGAAAGAAGAAGCAAACCACATCAGAGCACACGACAACCACCCACAGACCTGTTACTAGAGAGTAACTTACAAAGAAAAGAAGGACAAAGATAAGGATGACATGTTGATATGAAGTAAAGACGGAGCAAACCACCTCAGAGCACCTGCCAACCAGCCATTTGCCCTCTCCCAGTCCTATCATAGACATTTTCAAAAACGGAAGCTGGGTGGCGGGAGGATGCAACTGGTCGGTCCTACTTCTTTTCGTCCACTCTGGGGGGGGGGGGGTTGTCTTCATGCTCTGTCCTAGCACTCAATGTGTAGATGTACAATGTACATCGCTTTAATAAACGGAGGAAGCAGTATACATGAAGTAGAAAATGAACATATTATTATAATTGAATGAAATGTGTGCTTTTGTTAAAATGCAATGTAATATATTGCCATCTCAGGGTCACAAAAGTCTTACACAACGTCATAATGACTTCCTAATCATCACATTTTTACACAATCAGTTTTGTTTCATCACATCCAAAATCCACGTGATTCATCTGTGGTTCGTTGTGTATTTGAACCTAACTCATGGCAAAGTAAATTATACTGAGATCGAGAATGGTGAGGCTAAGAATACAGAGAGCAAGCGGTAAGGATTTAAGACGAGGTGGAAATGGCTAACGTAAAAAGTTGAATAGTGTGTGTGTGTGTGTGTGTGTGTGTGTGTGTGTGTGTGTGTGTGTGTGTGTGTGTGTGTGTGTGTGTGTGTGTTTACGTGTGTACTGGGTGTGAAAAAGATATTGTCATAACTCCCTTTGGTCATGCACTCGTCTCAAAGCATTGCCATTGACAAATGTGTTAATCTTTCGCAGAAAATGAATCAGTCAGTTAATGCGTACTCATTTGAGTACAGCAGCAAGGCCAATAGGCCTATACATGTATATTATATCATTTGTACACATAAATTGTACATATTTAATATTATAAATATTATGTGTGCGTAAACACATTACAGTAACACACACTCACAACAACTCAAAAGTCATACGCTAAACATATAGAGAAATGCAATGCATCTTTTTAATAGACACAGCAGAAAGCTAGGGTATATATATGCCTTTAACCTTATTTGATCACATGAGCTTCTCAACCACTGTCTGAAATCCAAATCTGTTGAAGTGTGTCACTGTGTTATGAATGGGGAAATGTTTGTACTATTATTACTGTTTTCTATGAATGTCTTGCTTTATTCGTTTTATATAAATGACCCTGGACTGCAAAATTAATACCGTACTTTGTTCGTTTTTGTTTTTCATTGGATAATTTCAATTTGACTATTTCAGTGGATCTCTATATATTTTCTACACTACCCTTTTACATAGAAACTGCCGTTAAAATAGATGTATATTTAAAAAATTGAAATACATGTATGTGGCTAACACCGAAACTGTTCCTTTATTCATGGCAGCCGTTGCTTCAGCGTCTACTCTGTTGTGGTATACATGCATGTATTATCTATGCTGCTGCTTATACATTACCATTATATAAAGAATACAATGTAGAGTCTAGATCCAAATGTTTCTAATGTAAAATTAAAAGTAAGTGTAGAAACGAGAAGTGGCTGTTCTCGATCTCAGTGCCATGAGTTAGGCCCAAATAGACAACGAATCACAGATGAATCACTTGGCGTATGGGTGTGATAATAAAAATAATAATAATAGATAGCATTTGTGTCGCGCAAGTCCCCGCTCAACAGCAAGCTATCATGCGCTTCATTATCTATACAATTACCCCAGCAGACCTGAGAGCATTCTGAAACAACCTCAACTTCCTGGAAATCATACAGTTCAAGCAGCCATTTATAGGCGCTAAAACGCTACGTGTACTGTACTGACAAGATCTTTCGCTGTCTATGGCCGGGTACCCATTCCCACCTGGGTGAATTGAGGAAAATTCGTGTAAAGTGCCTTTCTCAAGGACAACGTCGGGCCCACGGTTCGAACCCCCAAACCAGTAACCTCACGATTACGAGTCCGGTAGCCTAGCCACTAGACCACCAACTGATCTTGTAAATAATGGGATGATTAGGAAGTTATTATGGTGTTGTGTAAAACTTTATTTAGAGACCCTAGAAATGGCACTGTGTAGGACAG